CCAGACCAGCCATATTTGGCTGGGGAACTGCCAACCGAGGGCCTGAAAGAGGGCCTGTCACACTCACCTGATGCTGTCGGTACAGCAGGGGGACGGTGAATAAGCCAATCACTCCTGTGGGCACAGAGATGGGGGGTCAGGGTTCTCACAAGAGATTAACAATTCCATCTGGGTCCCTGTTCCCCTCAATGACCCACGTCCTCACCCAGCCCCCCACAGCCTTCCCAGCTCACCCAGAATGAGAAGAGTCAAACCATTGAAGACGGCACCCACGAAGGTCAAGATGTAGAAGAGAAGGGCGAGCTGGGGGTGAGGGTCAGGGTCAGGGTCAGCAGAGCTTATAAGGCACTCCCCAGGCTCTGAACTTACCCAGAAATGGCCCTCTTACCCCCCAGGGGCAGGAAGGTGAATGGTTGGGAACCCAGGAGAGAAGGGGGGCTTTGGGCACCTTGAGGGAGTCCACGAGGTCTTCTACCAGGAAGAAATGCCGCAGCTGGGTGGCCGCAGAGACCACTTTGGAGGCAATCTGCTGGGACAAACGTTCTATCTGCTCCCGAGTCAGGGTCAGGTCCACGTCCAGATAGGCCCTGAGAGGACAAAGGGGTGTGAGGTGACTCAATGGGTGGGTGGGGCTCAGGCTGAGAGGTGTGGCTGGGACAAGGGCAAGAAATGGGGTTTGGAGGAAGGCCAGGTGTAGAGGGCTAAGGTCAAGGTCAGGGTTAGGGTCAGGAGATGGGATCAAGGGTTAAGGCTAAGAGATTAGGATTACAGGTTAGGGCTGCAATTGACAGCTCAGAGCATGGTTTAGTCAGGGGCAGGGCCAGGTTGGAGTCAGAAAGAGGAATAGGATGGGGTCAGGACCAGGGTGAGAACTTGGTGCCTGAACTGAGGTCATAGGTCATGACTTAGGGTCAGCACTGGGGTCTGGAGAGTCAGGGTCAGGGCTGGGGGTTCTCACTGGAAGGGGTTGGCACCGTCCCCCCGGTGCACGGCCTGCAGCACTTTTCGGTAAACCCTGAGAGAGATGGTGCCACAGAGCAGCAACAGGGCCACATGGGCGGCCACGGACACGATGCTAAAGTGCAGGAGGCACAACAGGGAGACCATGAGGCCTGTGAAGACCACTCCTGATGTCTTCGTGTCCTTCCAGTACAGCAAGTCCGCCACTGTGGAGGAGGGGAGCAATCAGGCTGGGGTTTGGGCCTGGCCTGGCTGACCTCTTGACCTCCCA